AACAGATAGCTGTACAGGACAGTTCATGACTTCTTTTGTAATTATTTCAGCAGCTGAATAATTGCTCATCAGCCTTCCACGGCTAGGACCTCAGCAGGACCGTGGGTCATCAGTACCCTCTCCCTGCATGAGAATTGAAAGGCTGGAGATAGTGGGGATCTCTCTCTCTCTTGTGTCAGAATGCTGGAGGCCCAGTCCTGTTTGGCAGTGATGTTAGACTATGCTGTCCTCTGAGTGCACTTCCAGTATCAGTTTGTGGATTGAGGGCTTTGCATAGGAAACTTGTCACTGGACCGTATCTGTTGTTAGGGTGCTGTGCCCTGATTCTAGGGCTTTGCAAGGGGTTACTGGTTCCCTCCTTAACACTGAATAAACACACAAATGGAGCTTTGTTAGTAAGTAGTTATCCTCACTGAGTAACTTGCGTACCAGATGTGTTTTGGTGGATAATTCCTGATCCTTTCAGTTCTTGTTGAACATATTTTGGTATTAGCAGCTAGGATTAGACTGGTGACTTCTTTCCATTCTTGCCCTGGTACTATTCAGAATCCAGAAAAATTTCTAGTTTGGTTCTAAACCTTTTTTCTGTTTAACTGTTGGTGTAATTTCTGTGCTGATATAAGCAAAAATATTATTGATAAAACTCTGTAGCTGCCAATACGCTTTTAGTGGAATGCATTTGCATTTGGTGGTCTTCAGTTGCAGCACTTCCTGAGCGCAACAGATTGCTGTGCTATTTTTGCTAATGCACAGTTGGCCAGCATCCCTGTATTTCTAACAGTGTCGTCTGGTGTGTTATGTTCTAGAAGATTTTACAGTGGTTTCTGAGAGAGTAGTTGTCCCTTTAGGGAACTGTGGAAAATTTTGAATCAACTCTTACAACTCCTGCTTTTCATTCCACAAACTTCTCTTTTCATGATCATAAAAGAAGAAAAGAGAAGCAAGATGGTAATAGTGACAGTAATAGAAAGGAGGTGAAAGAGCTGTATGTCCTCTATAAAATCTTTATGAAATCCACTGTTTCTGGAAATACATGCATGTATGTCACCATTTGTCATTAATCACCCTGTTTTTAAACGAGATTTTGAGATTCCAGCAGGATTACTTCTCCAAAAACTGCTTGATTGTGTCTTGTTCTTAAGAAGAACTAACTTTGTGATCTGTGCTGCTTTTTTTTTTTTTTAACAGCATCTTTCCAAGAATTATTCCAGAAAAGTGATTCTTTTTCTCCAGAGTACCTCATTAAACTAATTTGGTGTAAGGCACTCCTACTGTAGAATTTAATTTGTATAAGATGTTAAAGAGGAAAAGGCCTCCCTCAAAATCCAAATTTCACTCTTAACTGTATGTCCTAAGTTTTGAGGTGGAATGCTATTTATAATTTTGATGATTATGATGTAAAGCAAAATTAGGTAAGATACCATGGTTTATGTGATTTATTAGGGAAACATCTCCTTTAGAAAATCGCATTTTGGCATGTTGAAGGTGAAAGAACCTTTTGCTTGTCCGTGTTGTATTATTAGCATGTGCACTAAGGTTTGTGCTCTGGTTGAAATGTAGTAGTCCCCTTTAAAACAAAGTAGAAAAGTTACTCTCTTTAGTTTGGTTATAAGTGGTGAAAAAATACTACTAAAGTAGCATCACTTATAAATTTCCTTGAGCTGTACAAATTCAGTCTCAATTACTCCCATTCCAGTTCCTTGTCTACTTACTAGGATATTTTTATTGGAGATGTTTTGACTCTAAATCATTGTATTTAGAATTGTGGGCTGAGATGTGTAAAGTGCATAGGGGTAAGTTATCAGTGGTCAAAGAGCTAACTGTCTTTTCTTTGTAGTAGTATGTCATGTGAGTAGAAATAAACAGAGCATGATAGAAAAGAAGGTATTGATGGTGATTCTCTGATGATCAGATGCACTTGAACATCATGAAAAGCTGAAATTAAATACCATCCCCTGACCAATACTGAAATGTTGGTGCTTCTGCAACTTCCCTGAATGTAATTTAAAGGAAAATGCTAGTAGTGACAAAGCATGTTTTGAAGCACAAAGTGAATCTTTATTTATCCTTTTTTAAAGAAAAGGTGAATCAGAAAGCTATTGCAAAGTAGTCTCTGGAGATATCAAAATAATAAACCAGCAGTGAAAACCATTTGTAAGACATCTTTCTGCCTGCCTTACTTTGTGGCTCTGCTCTGCAAAGAGACTTGGTAAGAACTGAGCTTGACAGGCACTGTTTGAGTGATATCTGGGTAAAACTTCTATTAAGAAGATAACACACCTGAGGGACAGGATGCCATCCAGAGGGACCTGAACAAGCTCAAGACATGGGCCTGTGTGAACTTCAGGAGGTTCAACAAGGCCAAGTGCAGGGTCCTGCACCTGGGTCGGGGTAACCCCCAGTATCAATACAGGCTGGAGGATGAAGGGATTGAGAGCAGCCCTGCTGAGAAGGACTTGGGGGTACTGGTGGATTAAAACCTGGACATGTGTACTTGCAGCCCAGAAGGCCAACTGTAACCTGGGCTGCATCCAAAGCAGCATGGCCAGCAGGTCAAGGTAGGTGATTCTGCCCCTCTACTCTGCTCTGGTGAGACCCCGCCTGGAGTCCTGCGTTCAGCTTTGGAGCCCTCAGCACAGGAAAGACATGGACCTGTTGGAGCAGGTCCAGAGGAGGGCCACAAAAGGGAATTTGATAATTTGATCAGAGGGGTGGAACACCTTTTCTGTGAGGACAGGCTGAGAGAGTTGGGGTTGTTGAGCCTGGAGAAGGCTCCAGGGAGACCTTCTTGCAGCCTTCCAGTACTTCAGGGGGGCTTCTAAGAACGATGGGGACAGACTTTTTAGCAGGGCCTGTAGCGATAGGACAAAGGGTAGATTCAGACTGGATATGAGGAAGAAATTTTTCACAATGAGGGTGTTGAAACACTGGCACAGGCTGCCCATAGAAGTGGTAGATGCCCCATGCCTGGCAACATTCAAGGTCAGGTTGGACGGGGCTCTGAGCAATCTGATCTAGTTGAAGATGTCCCTGCTGATTGCACAGGGGCGGTGGACTAGACCTTTGAGGGTCCCTTCCAACCCAAACCATTCTATGATTCTGTGATAATCTAGGAAGCACCTTTCCAGTTCAAAGCCAAAGATTTTGGATTTGACTATTTGGATTTACTGTTACTATTTACTCTTCTTTCAGTGTGGCTTCATGTATTTCATTTCAGTTCAACTACTTGCATGGTTCTGTATATGTAAAACGTTTCCTTTGATGTATAAGGCAAACAAGAATCTTATATCAGTTTGTTGTCCCACAGAAGTAATGATCCTTTGAGGCTGAGAGAATTAACTTCTGCTTTTTCACTGGAGTTCTTAGAAATGGATGGAAAAGTTGTGTGAAATAGTTTTTTACAAGAAAGAAATTTTGCAAAAAGTACTATTTATTTAATGCATAATTGCCTTAACCAGTGGTTATAGATAGTATAGTTCAGTTTCTAAGGGCTTACTCTTTCATTAGCAGAGTGCACTGGTGTACACTCACGTAAGTGTACACTGGTGGCTTAGACTAGGTGTTTTTGCCCTGACACAGGGCCGGAATGTAGTGTTTCTAGGAGAACAGTAGCTTAAAACATAGCTGTATGTAGATAGATCCCAATGAAATTTTACAGTCTTATCCCAAAACGCTCTGTACGTTTCTAAGTCTAACTGACTGGTATGTCTGAATGGACAGCGTGCAAGGAATGTACAGGAATTGTTTGTGCATTTCAGAATTATTTGAAAGGTGAAAGGAATATTTAAAAGGCAGCTCTTTCTGTAAGTTCCCCAATGGATAAATAAGTATGTGATGATTTATGACTTACTGTCCAGTGTTCAGGAGAACCAAAGGAAGAAAGCAGCTTAGTGATAGCAGGTGATCTGGTGAAAGGATGGCATAAAATACCTTATTCAGACCTGTGCTGTGACTTTTCACAGATACTCAGCACAACTTGTTATGGTGCTTAGCCTGCAATTTTCTTGGATAACAAGGAAAAATAGTATTATGAACAATTTCTAGATGTCTAGGCCAGGACGAAAGCATGGGAAGTAATTTTTTTGTTTGTTTTTGCTTTGTTATTATTATTATGGAAATAATACTTTTTCAAGTAAGAAAACCACAGTGATCTACTGAAAGAAAATAGTGTGGAATTGGGAAAAGAAAACTTTACTAATTAGATAGGCTGGATATTTAGTTATTTTTAATTTATTTTTTTACTTTTCCATTCCTAGGTCCTGTGCTTTTGCCCAAGACATAATCATCTATATAAATCTTTTCTTTTTCTGTCTCCTATAATGCCTTTTGCCCCCATCCTCACTGTTTGTAACAGCTAATAAAACTGTCTCCTTCACTTATCTTACTAGCCACTTGCATCACTTTGAAGCTGTCTGCATAGACCTTTCTGCAGGCTTGAGCCTTAATGTAGACTTAGAACCGCAAGTGCAGCAATACTATGTGTCCAAAAGCAGAAGTTGTACATGTACTTTTTGGTACACCTTCAAGAAATTGAATGTATTGTGTTTAAACAAAGTATAAATAACCCTATATGCATTCTTCAGTCATGGGCTTAGGATTCTTTTCTTTTCAGGGGGGAGAGGTGTCAGGGTTTTTTTTGAGGTTAGTAGTTTTACTGTTTTCAGCTTTGTTTGAGTGAAGATAATATTTGCATTTAAAATTTTGCTAGAATAAGGCTATTGGAAGTGTTTGTTTTTACCACAATTGATACCATAATTATTCTCAAAAACTGCCTGAATTTTATTATAGCTAGAGTGCAGCTCATGTATGTTTTATTCTCAAATTGCGCACGGATGCTTATATTTTTACTCTTTTTATTGATGATTTAGGAATGCACTGGAAACAAAATAATTGATCTCACTGTTGAACAGTTTTCAAAGCCAAGAAAATACTGTGCATAATTTGCCTATTAGAGTCATAGTGAAGTTACTTTTTTGTTTTCTGTTTTTCTAATGTAATAGAAATCAATGGTGGAAGAGAAAAACAAGTTTGGTTTCTGAAAATATCAAAACTAGCATTGGCTTTTGCAATTATCCACTCAAAACCATCAGGGAAGAGTTGCAAAGAATACACTGAACACCTTGCCAAAATCGTATCTGAACAAGATTTTGGATGGAAATCGAAAGTTGAAGCGCTGGAAGCTGAAGTTCTTCGATTACGTCAGGAACTTCTTTTGAACAAGATCTGCCCGAGATTCTGCTTGGAAAATGGTAAGTTTCTGAAATAATTTCTGACTATGTTGCAGTAGCAAGGAAACAAACAGCTTTTGTGTTCCCTGCACCATTTCTTGTACCTAGAAAGCTGTACACTGAGGACTCTCGTATCTATTATTCCCAGAGCCCTGATGTAGTAGAACACTTAATTCATTTGTGATGGGACTGAGCTTGAGAATCTGCTGCTTACACAGAACTTACCTTTTGAACCTTCAGAATCAATACGTATCATACAGAATAATTTACAGACAAAATTGTCAATGCAAAGTGTTACTCGGTAACCTTGGAGATTCCGGTTTGTAAGAATATTGATGAACCCTATTTACATTTCTAAGTAAAGACATATTGCATATTTTTTTACCACTTTAAAGATGCTTAAAATCAGAATTTAAGCCTAATGTGTTGAAAGCATGAATCCCTAATGTGTATAATGAGAAGGTTGGGCAGACAAAGGACTGTATGCCTACTATGTCTGTTAATGTATTTAGCCTGTGGATGCTGTCAGTGTTTATGATGACATATGATAAAATATTGTGAATTTGATATTGTAGGATTCAGGAAAGCTGTTAGTTAAAGAATATGAAGAAAAAAAAGAATATGAAAAAAAAGAAAAAAAAGAGTTCAAACTACTGTTTTTCTGACTTGTGCATGTGGAATGAGTCATTCTCACTCTGAGATATCAATGGCACAAGATGAGCTTGGAAATCAGGCAGTGGAGGATGTCTCCGGGCTCTGGGGAGATATTCCTTCTGGGAGATGGAGGTCAAAACGCTCAGGGCTGAAGGGTAGAAACAGTTCACTGTTGAGGGAATCTCCAAAATCAAACCGTCTAGCTAGTTGCTGTATGACTTGAGATTTTTACAAGGTTCCCTGATAGAAAACTCAGTGAGGCTTTACTGGAATGCTTTTGTAGTGAAATGTTAGCTTCTTTATTGCCTTGTGAAAAGATTTCTCGATGCTGACTTTGACTGATAGTAGGGTTGTATTAGACTTCAGCTAGAAGCTCTAATGATTTCTTTTTTTCCTGTAATAGACCTTTCTCTCTAGAGAAGTGATTTAAGGACTATTCACACTTAGTTATTTTTTGTGTGTCTGTTCTCTGCAAACTATTCCAAACATGAAATGTATTTAAGAGTAAAAGTAACTTTCAAGCTGCTGTTTGCAACAGGTGTCTTAATGTTGTAAAGAACTGATTGCATATGATGCATATCATCTGGAGAGATTTATTAACATCTAATGTCTGGAGAGGATATTCTGATTATGGATTAAGCAGAACATATCAAACACTAGAAATGAAATCAATTCATCTGCAACTTCTGTGTTCCAAGTCTTAACTTTTTAAAGATTCTTTACCCCAAGCTGTTGAACTGAGCAATACTGATATCTCACTTGCCAAAGTGAGCTCTTTTAGTTGAGATGGGCAGACAAAAGCAACTGTCCCTGGTGAATAACACCTCTTCCAAAGGATGTTAATTTCCATTGCCATAGTCACAGTGAAGTTTGTTCACAGACCTAAAATGTGGTAAACCTTGTCTTATTTTAGATGTTTACAGCTGCACTAAATTTTCTGTGCTTTCTTCATTATCTGTACAGGGAAATAGCATGCTTACTGTACAGTTCATGGTTCACTTGAGCCATTGCGATATTCACTAATATGGATATGGTGAATTGACCACAAAAGACGTCCCTCTCCATTTGGCTAGCAATAGGCTGACTGGCTTAGAAAAAGTCCCATGATTCCCAAATCTTACTTCAGTAAGCTGTTCTTCATAGATAGCTCTTCATTTTTTATGGTCGCAGCAATCTGTTCAAACATACCTTGGGTAGGTAACCAAGTCTCATTTTTTCAGTCAAACTAAGCTTTAATTTCAGTCTATGTTTAGCTAATGGAATCCTAAATAATGGAGATGAGTGTGTGGTACCTATAATCCTTCTATATTCCTTCAGCTTCACCCTACTAATTTGAAGGATTAGTGTGCAGCTGCTTTTCCCTTCAGATGTTTGTTTATATTTATGTTGATAAACTGCTGATAAACCTTTTGGGCAGAAGACATTTCACCATTTGAAGTATTGATGGGAGTTCACATCAGCTCCACCTGCATCACATGCTGTCCCAGAAAAGTAGGGCATAGTCTTCACCTTCAGTTTCTCTTAACCACTTGCATGTAAAAGAGCAAGAATATGTGGAAAATCTGAACTGTATCATAATTTCTATTTCTTCGTACAGGTTTTCCTTAACTTTGAAAGGACGCTTTTGAGCTCCTGGAGTCTAACTTTGAGACGGCCATTTTTTGTTATATTTCTTTCTTTTTACTGTTTCCTCCCTCCCAAAAACCTTGGCATGACATATGAACTCTTCTGATAATGGATCAATGCATTTGAGTCATATGTTATTTTGGAAAGAAGATGTTTTTCATCAGACAGATAAAATTGCTGAGTGAGCATTCGTGGTTACAGTCACATTGAAGACAAATGCTCAGTCTCTTGTGTTTGAGTAAAGAAAGATTGTTACTGATACCTGATGAGGTATCTGTTGGTGAGATCTGTGCACTCTTCTGGTGATCCAGTAGATGATATGTATTAAGAGCAGAACACCTGTGGTTGGCATTTAAAGGAAGGTGGTTGTAGAAGCAAAGTCAACCAGAAATAGAGGCCACTCTACCACTGACATCTTCTGCTCTGGGAAATAAAAAAAGTCCTCTCTTGTGTGTTGTGCCTGTTTTGAGATTTTTCAAGCCCATGGAGATTAGAAGCTAAAGGGTGGCTACTATTGAGATAGATTCAAGCTCCTTGTACCTTCTTGAGAGGAAAAGTGCTATAAGTGGTGCTCCATCCTGTTCACCTGAAGGCTACTATAGATCCATCAAGCCATTGTGGTTTTTTGTTGATGGTATATTGCCCAAGTTTACTACCTAATATCACACCAGAAAAGTTCTCTTTAGGACCAAGGATAACTGGGCTTGTTCTTAGGGCCAAGTAATCTACAAATACCGTGGATCTTTTCCTCCTCCACTTGTTTATCCAGACTTTTTTTTTGAGTTGGTGTTCTGCTTAATAATGCAACCTCTTGAAAAGCTGAGGGTTTGATTTTTTGGGTTTTTTTTTTTTTTTTTTGCTTGCTTGTGTTCTGCTTAACAACTCCATATAGAAGGAAGAATACCAGGGTTTCACAAAAGCCACCACTGGAAAATCTCATGCAGTAAGAATCAGATCCTGCATTTGTGTCTGCTGCTGCCTATTGGCAGCTGAAGAGTTCAAGTCCTTCAGTAAGGTTCACTTTGCAGCTGTATCTTCACAGCTCTGCATTCTGAGTGTGAGAGCTTTCCTCTCCCGCTGTGACGGTGAGAGACTTCACTGTGAGGTTCAAATTAGACTTCACTGTAAGGCTCAAATTAACAATTTATTTGAACTTCACTTACAGGTCTAATAACAATATATTTGAACTTCACTCACAGGTCCAATACGCCACTAGTGCAGGTTTTTATGAATACAACGGAAGAATGCACTATTGCAATTCTAAACCACAGGCGCACTAGATATTAATACTTTGAACAGAGTGCACTAATCACAATCTTAAAGCATGCCAAATACCATACGTATGTTTCGTAATCACTTACCCTCTCTCAGGTAAGGCCTCTCGATCCCTGGGAAGTTTCCTTGTACAGCGTCCTGCACAAGGGGCGAGAGAATCTCCCACAGGCCAGCTGTATCGTTGGAAAGACGGCACCCCTTTCTGCCCAAACCTTATGGGTTTTATCTCCTGATTTGATGGGTGGGGTAGGACTCGTCTGAGTGGATACATCAACATTTGAAGGTCAATGACATGGATCTTTTTCAAATTAAGGGTCTTTGAAGCTGATAGATTTTTAAACTTTGCATGTTTTCATTTTAAAATGAACATCATATTTGGTGCCAGCAACTAAGCACCATGCAGCTGCTCACTCACTCCCCCTCCCACAGTGGGACCGGGGAGAGAATTAGGAAAAAAAAACCTCGTGGGTTGAGATAAACACAGTTTAATAGGACAGAAAGAGAGAATGAAACAACAATGATAATACCAACAAAGGAATGTACAAGAACAAGTGATCCCCAGTACAGCAATTGCTCACCACCCCGTGATCAACAGCCGGTCCCCGAGCAGCAATTTCCACCCCCCGGCCAACTCCAGTTTATGTACTGGGCATGACGTCGTATGGTATGGAATATCTCTTTGGCCAGCCTGGGTCAGCTGTCCCGGCTGTGTCCCCTCCCAGCTCCCCGTGCACCCCCAGCCTCCTTGCTAGCAGGGCAGCACAAGAAGCTGGACTGTCCTTGACTGCTTAGCAACAACCCAAAACATCAGCACATTATCAACAGTTTCTCATCCCAAATCCAAAACACAGTCTCACACTAGCTTCTGTGAAGAAAACCAGCTCTATCCTGGCTGAAACCAGGACATTGCCGAATAGTGGTGGAATAGTGCTCAGGGCATTTGTTAAGGGGTTACTGAAGGCACCACTCAGGCCTCGGTTCTTACCATGGTGCCTCTGAAACGGGTCTAGCCAGGTGATCCCTTACAGTTGGACATCCCTTACACTCACCTACTGTTTGTATTAATAATAGTAGGTTTCAGAGGCTTCAGGAATGATTAGAGGCTGCCCATGAAGTTTTATTTCCCTGACGTGAGAAATTTGTGAGCTCTTTGAAGCTGTGATGCCTGTTTTCTTTCTCCACATAAAGTTGCGCACAGTATGGATGCACAAGCACATGAAGGAGAAAGAACGAAGTATCTATTTTTAAAGATATGTTGTCTAAATTATTTATGTCCCACTTGACTAGTTCTTTGTCCTCAGAGACCCTAAAATAAAGTTTGCGTTTCCTTGCTAAGGGGGAGGAGCATGCTTTGCTACAGGTAAACTGTTTGGGAGTATGAGTTGTTACAGTTTAATGTATTGTTTATAAAATTGCTGTGGTATATATTCACTGACTGTGATGTGTCTGGAAGTTCCTTATTTGAT